TATCTAAAGGTCAGAGGAGAGGTGGGACCACAGTGGACAGACACACAGGACCTCTATCTAAAGGTCAGAGGAGAGGTGGGCACACCTTGGTACATACTCACAGGACCTCTATCCAAAGGTCAGAGGAGAGGTGGGACCACAGTGGACAGACACACAGGACCTCTATCTAAAGGTCAGAGGAGAGGTGGGAACACCTTGGTACACACTCACAGGACCTCTATCTAAAGGTCAGAGGAGAGGTGGGACCACAGTGGACAGACACACAGGACCTCTATCTAAAGGTCAGAGGAGAGGTGGGAACACCTTGGTACATACTCACAGGACCTCTATCCAAAGGTTAGAGGAGAGGTGGGACCACAGTGGACAGACACACAGGACCTCTATCTAAAGGTCAGAGGAGAGGTGGGAACACTTTGGTACACACTCACAGGACCTCTATCTAAAGGTCAGAGGAGAGGTGGGACCACAGTGGACAGACACACAGGACCTCTATCCAAAGGTCAGAGGAGAGGTGGGAACACAGTGGACAGACGCACAGAAGTGACTCCTCCCTTGTGGAGCCCTTGCCTTCAAGTAACCAAGAGACTCAGACTTGGCATGATGAGTAATAAGATAACCGTGTGTTCTGACTGGCAGTTGAATCCATGCAGGCTGAAAAGCACCAATGACTGCAGAGGGAAATAGCTCCTGTATTGCTTCCTACCAATTTAAAAAAAAAAAAAAAGAGGAAATCTTTTAACTCTTTTTCTGACACTCAGATCACCAAAGGGAGAAACTGCTACGAGTATGTGGATGGAAAAGACACGTCTTGGGCCAACTGGATGAGGTGAGTGCAGTGAGTCTGCAGCGTGTAGACGTGGATACTCCCTCAATCCCACGCCCCTTTCCTTCTCAACCCGGCTCCCTCAACAGCTTTCACATCTTCTTCCCTCTTTTCCCTCCATATCATGCTCTTTCATTTCAAAAGACACTAGAAAGAAGGAAATAAAAATATGGCATGTGCCGTCAAGATACAAGTCCATATGCTGAACAAAACTGGTGGACTTGAAATCAACTTGAGGAGTCTAGATTCACCAGGGACACTTTACTGACTTAATGGACACTTACCACGCACTTTATGTTTCAGTTCAGACAGTGCACTTCCTTACTGAAGCAGGTCACACAACCCATGTCCTTTTGGAGAGCATACTGCAAACAGACATTAGCCAATTGATTTTAGGAACAGTAACCTTATTTTTTCTCTCTTTGAGTAACTACACAGTGCCAGGATAACCTAACACAGGAGACCTTGACTCTATGTGGCAACAACCTCCTCAGGCTTGGCTCCAGTGAGAAGTGGGCCCTGAGGCCTCAGAAGGAATGGGGGGCAGGATGGCCCTGAGCAGGGCCGTTCTCTGAGGGCCTCTCCTTTCATCAGGGCAGGCAGACAGGAACAAACTATTACTGTTCCGTGTCTCAAGCTCTCTCAGAGCTCTCTCCAAGTTTCCGTGGGAGGGGGTGGGCAAGCGAATAGGACCCTGGATACACGTGGGGAGAGGGGAGAAAGCCTCGGGAGAGAAGGCAGGCTGGGGTGAGTGCTGAGGGCTGCGTCTTAGCCAAGGAGCACCAAGTCCTGTGGATGAAAGAGAACTTAATTCAGAGTTTAGAGGAGCTGGAGTTCACCAGCCTCACAGACAGTCCAGGTGGAGACGAGTCTGGAACTGGGCTCCGGAAAATGGCTAGTTAGGTAATGAGAGAAAGGCATGGGAATTCACATGGCCTGGCCGAAGGTGTGAACAGAAGGTCCACATGAGGGGCTGCCTCAGAGGCAGAAGGCAAGGAGCTGGGCATGGTCGGAGAGTGGAGGGCACTCATCACCTGAGGTTTCTTTCCCTTTCCCGGCCTCGACCCCAGGTATGTGAACTGTGCCCGGGACGACGAGGAGCAGAACCTGGTGGCCTTCCAGTATCACGGGCAGATCTTCTACCGAACCTGCCAGGTGGTCAGGCCGGGCTGTGAGCTGCTGGTCTGGTACGGGGACGAGTATGGCCAGGACCTTGGCATCAAGAGGAACAGCAGGGGGAAGAGTGACCTTGTGGCCGGGAGAGGTGAGTGTCACCCCTCTTCCAGCACCCCACCCCATCCTGGGAGCCTCCATGGTCTGATTTCGAAGCAGAGTACAATCCAGTCCAAAGTCAGTTGAGTTGCAATTAAAATGCCTCAGAATTTGATTCTTTTCATATGATTGTTAGGAAAAATTTCTATATTAAAAATGCTAGTTCTAACTTTTAATATTTAATATTTCATGCAAAATAATATGTAACATCAGATTCTGCAAAATAATATGTAACATCACATTCTGCTTAGGAGCAAAATGCAAGTTTTCTAACACCTACAAGCTCTCTGCCCTTTACAGCTTTCTTCCTTAATTCCTCCCATTAATTTTTTTTTAACTAAAATAAAGACATTTTATTTTTAAATATTTATAGGACAAAGATATTTTAAGGGTCACACTAGGAAATTTATGAATGACATCTGCCAATTTAAAGAAAGTAAATGGAATTCCTTAGTCATCAGTATTTTTTAATTAATTAATTTATTTATTTCATTTATTTTTATTAGTTGGAGGCTAATTACTTTACAATATTGTAGTGGTTTTTGTCATACATTGACATGAATTAGCCATGGATTTACATGTATTCCCCACCCCGATCCCCCCTCCCACCTCTGTCTCCACCGGATCCCTCTGGGTCTTCCCAGTGCACCCGGCCTGAGCACTTGTCTCATGCATCCAACCTGGGCTGGTGATCTGCTTCACCCTAGATAATATACATGTTTCGATGCCGTTCTCTTGAAACATCCCACCCTCACCTTCTCCCACAGAGTCCAAAAGTCTGTTCTGTACATCTGTGTCTGTTTTGCATATAGGGTTATCATTACTATCTTTCTAAATTCCATATATATGTGTTAGTATACTGTAATGGTCTTTATCTTTCTGGCTTACTTCGCTCTGTATAATGGGCTCCAGTTTCATCAATCTCATTAGAACTGATGCAAATGAATTCTTTTTAATGGCTGAGTAATATTCCATGGTGTATATGTACCACAGCTTCCTTATCCATTCGTCTGCTGATGGGCATCTAGGTTCCTTCCACATTCTGGCTTTTATGAACAGTACTGCGATGAACATTGGGGTGCACACATGTACAGTGATGTGCATTCAGTTACTGTTCCAGTTTGTTGTCCTGTGAGTTCACACTCTGTGCCAGACGGGGCTCCACGCACCCAAACAGACAGGACCACTGCCCTGGGGCAGCAGGGGCTTCATGCCAGGCAGGGGCTGGTGCTCTGAGCAAAACCAGCGCAGGGAACGTGCCTCGGGTCAGCGTGAGCAGAGGGTGGGGTGTGGCGCAGGACGGTGCGGCAGGGTCTCTGCAGAGATAACACCTGCGGAAAAGGATTCCAGGCAGGGGAGCAGCCAGTGCCGCAGCCCCAGGGCCGGGAAGAGAGGCCATGCCAGGGGTCTGGGGAGGAAGCACAGAGGGAGGGGAAGGAGGCTGGGCGGGACACGGAAGCCTCAGGGCCTGTGTCCACGTGCAGGCCCCACGGGTCCTCCTGGGTGACACAGAACAACCGCGAGGCTTTCAGCTGCAAGCGGCATGTTCTCTGTGCTAACACGATGCTTTGGCTCACTTTTGGGAAGAGACAGCAGCGGGGAGTCCCCTCAGAGGTCAGTTCATTGCCAGACATGAGGGGACAGTGGGCTGGCTAAAGATGCTTGGGAGTGAGGATGTGAAGAGTCTTACTGGAGATGTATTTTTAAATAGGGCTTCCTATTGTATGTTAAATGGTAATGTTAAGCCTGAATGAAATAAATGAGGTATGAGTACTGGTGAGGCTTGAGAAAGGATATGCCTTTATTTTATGATTTATGGGAAACTGAGAGAGGAGCAATTTTGAACCTGTTGGGACAGGAGGAGCCAGAGACCTGTAGTCAGTGGGACCTAGGCCACTCAGTCTCATCCAGTCTCAAACCCACTTCCTGCAGAGATCGGCACAAAGGCTGCTCTTTGAACAAGGAGCCAGAGAGTCAGATTTACCCACACCTGCTCTAACCACCCCCTGTGCTCCCTCCCATATGCAGAGAGCTCCAGCCCAGGCGCCCCTAACTTAATAGACCCTTTCCCCTCACAGTGAGCCTCTCAGGAGATTCCACCTAAGTCATCAAGTCTTATCTCTCAGTAGGGTAAAACACCTGTGGCCACTGTGACGTGACTTTTCTGACACTTACACGCAGGGAAAGTCCCTGCAGATCCACCTCTATCAGGACAGACGCTGCCTCTGGCGCTGCTGGAAGGTCCCTATCTGGGTGATATGTAGAAAAGGCCCTTGACACCAGCTTCCTGGATTTCTGTAGATGTAGAGAATAAGAGTGGAATGGAAAAGTGGACTGTAAAGACACGCTCGATGGGAGACAAATCGTGCACTGTCAACACTTAGATGATTAGTGGGGAGGGCCTGGCCATGGCAAACCAGCTACCTGACCAAAAACTTCCTCTTTCAGCAGAACCGAAGCCCAAGATCCACCCATGTGCCTCCTGCTCTCTGGCTTTCTCCAGTCAGAAATTCCTCAGCCAACACATCCAACGCAGTCACCCCTCTCAGACCCTCCTGAGACCATCTGAAAGAGACCCCCTCCAACCACAGGATCCCTGCCCAGGCAATCAAAATCAGCGATATTCAGATCCACAGAGCCCGAGCGACAAACCTGAGGGTCAGGAGGCCAAGGACAGGCCCCAACAATTGCTGAAAAGCATAAGGCTGAAGAGGATTTCAAGGGCCTCTTCCTACTCACCCGGAGGACAAATGGGGGGTTCTCTGGTGCATGAGAGAATGAAAGACGAGCCCAGCACAAGCCAGAAACTGAATCCGGAGGACACAGGCACATTGCTCACGGGGGCAGGGGTCTCAGGGATTATGAGAGTCACGTACGGAGAGTGTGGGCAAGGCTCCAAGGACAGGTCAAGTCTCACCACACACGAGAGAACACACACAGGGGAGAAGCCCTATGTTTGCGGGGAGTGTGGGCGAAGCTTCTATCGGAAGTCCCATCTCATCACACACAAGAGGACACACACAGGGGAGAAGCCCTATGTTTGTGGGGAGTGTGGGCAAAGCTTCAGTCAGAAGACCCATCTCATCAGACACCAGAGGACACACACAGGGGAGAAGCCCTATGTTTGCGGGGAGTGTGGGCGAAGCTTCAGGCAGAAGACCCATCTCATCAGACACCAGAGGACACACACAGGGGAGAAGCCCTATGTTTGCAAGGAGTGTGGGCAAAGCTTCAGTGATAAGTCAGTCCTCATCACACACGAGAGGACACACACAGGGGAGAAGCCCTATGTTTGCGGGGAGTGTGGGCGAAGCTTCAGTCGGAAGTCCCTCCTTATCACACACCAGAGGGCACACACAGGGGAGAAGCCCTATGTTTGCAGGCAGTGTGGGAGAAGCTTCAGTCAGAAGTCCGTCCTCATCAGACACCAGAGGACACACACAGGGGAGAAGCCCTATGTTTGCAGAGAGTGTGGGAGAAGCTTCAGTCAGAAGTCCGTCCTCATCAGACACCAGAGGACACACACAGGGGAGAAGCCCTTCGTTTGTGGGGAGTGTGGGCGAAACTTCAGTCGGAAGTCCCTCCTTATCACACACCAGAGGGCACACACAGGGGAGTAGCCCTATGTTTGCAGGGAGTGTGAGTGACTCATGACCATCAAACCACATCTTAGCCACAGGAGGATTACTGCAGCCGCCCCATGCCTCAGCTCTAATGGGGCCTCAGAGGAGATCTGTGACCCGTTACTGTCCCCAAGAGACTTCCCAGGTGGTCCAGGGGTCAAGACTCCAATGCAGAGACCCACGTTCAATACCTGATTGGGGAACTAGCTCCCACGTGCTGCAACTAAGACACAGCACAGCCGAAGAGATGAATATATAATAAATATTTTAAAGAAAGAGTGTGATAAGCACAGAATTACTTGTTAAATAGACCTTCCACTTTCATGACATGAGAGGAGGTAGATAAACAGCAGAGGGTTTCTCAAGTGTTCTGGAGATGTTCATGTCAATTGCCTTCGTGGTTTTTTAGTACTCCACTTCTAAGAAACTTTGTCTCCAAACAAATCTGAAGCCCAGACTATGTACTCATTCCCCCCTTATCACTGACAGCAGTGGAGTCCAGTCGTAGCTGAACCCCTGGGAAGGCATAATTCTGGAGCCAAATCAGTTAAGCCACTGGACAGTCTGTTCCTGGGTCCAGGGAAAGGAATCTAGCGGTTGAGTCAGACTCACCAGGGAAGGGATTCCCCGGCCTCCTGGGAAGTGTGGCCTCCCCTCCTTATAGAGCTCAGCTCTCCTTTGGCCTCTCCTGGGGGCCCTCTGGTTCCCTCTGACTTCTGTAGCCGCAAAGGTGAAGGCCACATGCGTGTGTGTGTGTGTGTGTGTGTGTGCGCGCGCCTGGCTCAGCATGGGCCATCTGGTCTCTGCCGCTCCCTCAGGGTCATCACAGCATCTGGACTCCAGATTCGACCACAGGGGTCCAGTTCTCAGCCCTGACCCCAGCAGGTGTGTGAGCTGGGGCAAAATGCTCAACCTCTCTGTGTCTCTATTCTCATCTGTGAAACGGGGTGGGAGCACCAGCGCTTTGCTCTGATGCATAAGCACAGGGGGAATCTGACAGAGGCTGGCTGAGAACGCAAGCCCCGCCTTTGTTGTCCTTTGTGGGTTTTTCTTTTTAATCTTCTTTTATTTTTTAATAGAAGGAAAATTGCTTTACAGAATTTGTTTTCTGCATGTCCTTCAGCCCCCACACCTTCCAGGTCTTCAGAGCTAGACGAGGAAGGGGCTGTTTAGGCACTGGGCTGCCCTGATGAGGGGCTGTGAGGTGAGGGGTGCTAAGGGAGGGTGACCTCCCTTCCCACCGCTGCCGTTCCTGCTGAGCTGGGCAGCCCCAGGACCCGTCCACAGACAGGCAGTGCCCACAGTCGTCCCCCCTACAGAGAACAGAGCCTGGAGCCGCGTTTGCAGGAAATCCCTCACCGGCCCCCATCCCACCCCCACATGGAGGGTCCTCGAAGCCCACACCACAGCTTCTCTATGCATGAGCCTCGTACCTCTGTCCGTGTGCTGTGGTCAACGCTGTCGCAACCTTGAAATTCTTAACCATGGAATAGTTCATTCTTACACTTCCTTTTCTTTTTTTTTTTTTTCCATTTATTTTTATTAGTTGGACGCTAATTACTTTACATCACTGCAGTGGTTTTTGTCATACATTGAAATGAATTAGCCATGGATTTACATGTATTCCCCATCCCGGTCCCCCCTCCCACCTCCCTCTCCACCCGATCCCTCTGGGTCTTCCCAGTGCACCAGGCCCGAGCACTTGTCTCATGCACCCATCCTGGGCTGGTGATCTGTTTCACCCTAGATAATATACATGTTTCGATGCTGTTCTCTTGAAACATCCCACCCTCGCCTTCTCCCAGAGTCCACAAGTCTGTTCTATACATCTGAGTCTCTTTTTCTGTTTTGCATATAGGGTTATCGTTACCATCTTTCTAAATTCCATATATATGTGTTAGTATACTGTAATGGTCTTTATCTTTCTGGCTTACTTCACTCTGTATAATGGGCTCCAGTTTCATCCATCTCATTAGAACTGATTCAAATGAATTCTTTTTAATGGCTGAGTAATATTCCATGGTGTATATGTACCACAGCTTCCTCATCCATTCGTCTGCTGATGGGCATCTAGGTTGCTTCCATGTCCTGGCTATTATAAACAGTGCTGAGATGAACATTGGGGTGCATGTGTCTCTTTCAGATCTGGTTTCCTCGGTGTGTATGCCCAGAAGTGGGATTGCTGTGTTATATGGCAGTTCTATTTCCAGCTTTTTAAGAAATCTCCACACTGTTTTCCATAGTGGCTGTACTAACTTGCATTCCCACCAACAGTCTAAGAGGGTTCCCTTTTCTCCACACCCTCTCCAGCATTTATTGCTTGTAGACTTTTGGATAGCAGCCATCCTGACTGGCGTGTAATGGTACCTCATTGTGGTTTTGATTTGCATTTCTCTGATAATAAGTGATGTTGAGCATCTTTTCATGTGTTTTTTTGCCATCTGTATTACACTTCCTTTTCATGAATGAAGTTTGATGGGCCCCGGGGTGCGCTGTGAGCAGAGCACATGCTCACACAGCATGGGTCTCAGGGTGGCCAGGCTGCACGAGGGGACAAGGTGGACACAAAGCCCCCCACCCTGGGTGAGTGAGGGTGGGGACAGCACCAGGAAGCCACGCTTGCTTAGACCCAGAACTGAGCTCCGAAACAGAGTGGGGGCAATGGCATTCTTAAGGTCGACCACACCCTCCCCTCTGTGAATGACCTCTGCCCTGGCCTAATCCTTCCAGAAGGGGTTCAGCAGACTGAAGCCCAGTCACCAGAAGACACCAAGGGGAGAGTGGGCCACGGGGCGGGGGGTGGAGGTTGCAAACTCCAGGACTCAGGGCAACAGCCCTCAGGTCCCTCCGTGTGCCAGGCTTCTGAAGCATCTCTACATGAACCGTGTCAGTAATAACCACCCACTATTATTTTGTCAGTTCTTTCACGCTTTCTTAAAGGAACACGTTTGTCTGTGACTTGGTTTCCCTACAGGAAGGGAAGCCATGTAAACTCCCCATCTTCTGTGGCTTGTGGCAGGGGCCACGAGAGGGAGAGTTAGGGGTGGTGCAGGCAGAGGGGCTTCAACTGAAAAACCTGCAGGGGCTTCTCACCTGCACCTCCCACCAGAGCTGAGCCTGGACTCCCCTGGAAGTCTGAGCAGGTCAAACATTCTCCCTCCCCTCCCCTCCGCTCCCCTCCACTCAGAAAGCTGACTCCTGGGGCCAGCCCACAACACCCCCAAATCCCCCATCACCCACAGCCCCACACAGGCCCTCCCTCACAGAAGTGAGATGTCCTGGATGGCGGCACAGATGGTGTGTGACCCCAGAGCTGGGGGTCTCAGCTGACCTTGAGCAAGGGGGTTGGTTCTTTACACAGCCTCCCAGCCCAGGGAGCTGCCAGCAGCCACAAGCCATGATCTGAAGCGGAGCTGGGAGATGGGGAGTGGGGATGTGAGCTGTCTGAGGTCCCATCCTGTCTCCAGGACAGCGGCCAGGCCTCACCTGACACCGTGACTGCCCTGCACGGGCACACAGGATACCAGCAGTCACAGGGACGGACAGCCAGCTGCCTCTGCCACTCGCTCCATCCTGACCGCGGCCCCACGGCTGTACCAGCCCCGCCTACACACTGCTCTGCTTGGCTGTTGGGGCTCGGGGACCCTGGGTGAGTCGGTGAGGGCAGAGCTCCAGAGGCCAAGCCTGTCTTCAGCCACCAGACCTGCCCTGATCACCAGACTCATGAGCCCAGCCAGTATCTGAAGCCTTTGGGAGAATGATACCACAGACGCTGACCTCAGAGCTTAGACTCCTGAAAACTTACTAAACAGATTATTTTTAGTCTTTTTTTAAAGTGGGATGTTGGCAGGAAGGGGGAAGGGGAATGACTTCCTTGGTGGTGCTGTGGTTAAGAATCCACCTGCCAATGCAGGAGATACGGGTTCAATCCCTGATCTGGGAGGACCCCACATGCCGTGGAGCAACTAAGTCCATGCACAATTACTGCAGCCCAAGTGCCTCGAGTCTCTGCTTCCCAACCAGAGCAGCCACCGCAAGGAGAAGTTCAGCACAGAAATGAGAGAGCAGCCCCCACGCCCTACAACCAGAGAAAAGCCCGCACAGCAGCGAAGACCCAGCACAGACAAAAATAAATAAATAACCTTTTTTAAAGTAGGAGATCGCAGCATTCTCTGCTGATCCAGAGGCTAGGACTCTGAGCTCCCAACACAGGGGGCCACGTTCAATCCCTGGTCAGGGCACTAGATCCCACATGCTGCAACTGAAGGCCCTGCATGCCACAGCTAAGACCCAGCGCAGCCAATTAAATGAATACTTAAAGTAGGAGGTGGTTCATCTGTCACCATAGAAAACTGCAACATTTTAGGAAAAGAAAACAAAAAGATCTTATTTTGCAAGTGCTCACGGTTGATTGCAAAATTTTCTCATAATATGCAGCTGTTTAAAAAAGAAGAAATTTAGAAAATACAGAAACTAAAACCCGCCCATAAATGTGTAGGGAACACCAATAACTGCAGCATCTGGCCAACACACACGGGAACACACGTGCGTGTTTTTCTTCTACAAAGGCTTTCAGCCTCCACCCCTCTTCCCACCGGCCTCTGCTCTGCTCACCAAGAAGACTGCGCTTTGGCCTCATGACCGGGGGTTTCTGTTGAACTCAGGGAGGCGGAGGAGCAGGGCTGTGAGGTTGGGGGCACCGTCTGGCCTGCAGTGAGGAGAGAAGCGCGAGTGCTCCGCCTCTGGGTCCAGTAACTCCAGGAGCCTCAGGGGAGCTGCCTGGGAAGAAGCCTCTCAAACACCTTCCCTGCAGTCTCCACAGTTAGAGCACATCCCACGTCTCGGGGTTCGGCTGTGGGTTAACAAGTCCTCTCTTGTTGGACAGAAAAGTGTTTCCACAGAGAATCTGCCCAGATCTTGGCCTAGTTTGGTTCTCTTATTGAACATGGAAAGTGTTTTCACAGAGAATCTGCCTGGATCTTGGCAGATCTTG